GAAAGAAACTACAGGCTAACAATGTCAGCTGCTTACAAGGAGAATCTTTACAAGATGTTTTACCGATGGCACGTGACACCAGCGAGATTGGCTAGGATGTTCCCAAACAGGTCCCCGGAATGTTGGAGGTGAGGCTATAACCAAGGGACGTTCTACCACATGTGGTGGACCTGCCCTAAGATTAGGAAATTTTGGTGGAAGATTAAAAAATGGCTAGAAGAGCTAACTGGGCGGAAGATAGAAAGAAAACCGGAACTATTCCTCCTGAGTATTTTGGAAGGGAAAATGGAAAAGAATTTACAATACATCATATTACACATACTAACTGCAAGTAGGATCGTCATAGCACAAAATTGGAAACAACTGGATATCCCCCCAGACCAAATCATAATTTTAAAAATATATGAATGCGCAGAAATGGACAGATTATCTATGGAAATTAAGGAAAGGGAAGACACTGAATATTACTTAATTTGGAATAGATGGTATTCCTGGCTGGAGAGTAAAGTTAAAAAGTAAGCAATATTAATGTTACAAAACCGAATTGTGAATAGAAGTTAGTACAATTTAGATAAGGATGTAAAGTAAGATAGTGATAGATAGAAGTAGAATTTGTGCATGGAAGTTAATTAGGATAGATGTAGAAAAGCTGTTATTAGTGTTTAAGCTTTGATGTGTTTGTTTTTGTCTGTTTGTTTTTGTTGTATGTTATAGTTTTCTATTTTTTGCTCTTTTCTATTTTTTGTATTGTGTATTTTAATGTTTGAAAATTCAATAAATATTATTTTTAAAAAAAACATATTTCTTACATTCCATTTTTCTTATTTCATATTATTTACTCTTACCTTTTACACAAAATTTTAATTTCCATATAAATATTAACTAATATGCAATAACATCTAAACCGATGTGCTTTAGCATCCGTATTATCTTCCATTATAGTTTCAATAGTATAACCCTCAAGAAAAAAAATACGAAATTGTCCATCTGTTTTCTTTTCCCCTGTACACCAGGGGTGGGTTCTACTTACCTTTACTACCAGTTTGCAACAGGATCGTGCTCTTCACTTTGCTTCCTCTGCTTTTATTGTGACTCTGCTCCTGTTGTACTTTTATTTTGACACACCCAGTTTATTTCTCTTGCGTAGTTTATCTTATCATTCCGTTATTTGAAGAAAAGGTAGGTTTATAGTTCCAGCATCTTAATATGCCTTTTTAATATCATGCCTTTTATTTTGGGGATTCCATTTCACACTTAATTTTCTTTTTAAACAGATAGTTACTTCTTTAAATTTCCAATATGCTTTTTTTCACACAATAGTTGCACGCCGTTGTAGCAAATTGTTCTAAAAGGAATTCCCCTTAAATTTTTTGTGGGGTCCAACTTCAGCTATAAATCTTTTCTTACCCAGACGACACACCATTCAGCATTTCTCTACTCCTGCACAAACCTATGGTTCTGGCTGTTCCTCGGCTTCATGTCAGCCATTTTGTCTGCCGCTTCTCCTAGTCTTCGGATGAGGGGGTTTTCCAAGTCAGGGAGGGGAGATGAGGCTCCCCTTGATCTGCAAGGCGGTCCCCCTTTGCTTCACCACCCCTCCAAGGTGGCTATGGCTTCTAGTGAAGCCCCCGACAGAGAGCTCGGAATGGACCCGCAGAGGTTGCAGATCTCGCACCGAAGACGCTGGAAGTTCAATTGGAAGCTCCACATCTAATTTCATCCATGGAATGCCACCCTGCTCCAAAACTCCCATGCTCAGATACCAGCTCATTTCAGTTAAAACTAACCAGATGAAATCCAATCTTTATTAGAGTCATAGATCAGCATAAAAACTCATCGGAAATGTACAAGGCCAAAAACTTAAATCTTATATCTGAATGGCTTGCTGCATCTCCTGTAACTGGATCTGAGAACGTCAGCCCTTGAGGTAATAAAGAAGACAAAAGCTAGGATCTTGATTCAGTTGGTGTATTATTTTGATAAGTTATTTTGATATTTCCTCAATGTGATTATAAAATGGATTTTTTAAAACAGCATTTGTAATAGTTCATTTTTTTCTGGATTGTTATGTTCTACAAGAGACTTAATAAAACACTCTCTCGTGTCCAGAATCCTTCTAAGGAACAATTCTGTCTACTTTTGGTATGAGAAAAATGTTTTTGTTGGGGTCAATATGATGCCTTACAAATAGCATTTATATGGCTTATGCCACCCTTGAATTGAATAGGATTTCTAAGTCATTCAGGGAGGAAATGTTTAAATTAGTGCAGCAAGTCGGTTGGGACCTACTGGGGAATAGGATCTACTGAGCTCAGTGAAATACAGATGTCAATTGACACATTGAGATTGCAAGTGAACAGGTCTATGATTCCCCTATAAGGAACTGAGATGTTGTTAGGGAATGTAATCACTGCCCTCTAGTGGGAAATGAAAATTAAAATAATGCCATTCCTAACAATTATGAAGTAGGTACAACCAGCAACTATTTACGACAAACTGTCAGGATGGAAATCAGATTTCATCCTGTTACCAATTATTTCAGAATAGATACATCATTCTTTTACTGCTAGCCTCAATTGAACATGGAAATGCAAGGTTTCCGAATATTCTAAGAAAGTGTAGTGTGTTACACATTCCAACAGTGCTTCCGGCCACTCACTGAGCATTCTGTCAACATGCCAGTAGCCTCTCTTCATAATGGAAGCAGCCTACCTGCTTCCATTATGAAAAGCTGCTGTGCCAAGCTCAATTTTTTATTATTCTTTCCTTATGTACCTTTCAGTGGTGGGTTGCTACCGGTTCTCCCCAGTTCTTGCGAACAAGTAGTGGAAATTTTGAGTAGTTCGAAGAACCGGTAAATACCACCTCTGCCTGGCCTCACCCCCAATCTATTCACTGCCTCCCGAGTCCCAGCTGATCGGCTAGAAGGAAAAAAAACTGTTTAAACTCTTGCTGTGGCGCTTCAAAGGGCCGCTCTACAACTGATCAGCGGTAAAAGGCAGTGTGGTGGTAGACCAGTGCGCTCCAAAAACAAATAGGTAGACCGGAACACTCCAAAAACAAATGGGTAGATCGGTACAGCTCTGCAAGCAGTTAAAAGCCTGGTAGAGCAGTACCTCTGCTAAATCCTATCAAACCACGCCCACAAAATAAGCCACGCCCACAGAACCGGTAGTAAAAAAAATTAGAACCCACCCCTGGTACCTTTGGCTTCTCATTGTCAAGGCCAGCACTCTCTGCTTTAGCCACTTTAAGTTGAGCCTGTTTACTTTGCCACCATGAAACTTGTGCAATTTCTTATGAAAGTCATGAACATGAGACCATTGAATTGATAAATTGAACGGATACATTGAACAGGAATGGATGCCAGCATCGATTTTGTTTATTTTACTCTTCCGTTTTTTTTTTCCATAAGTAATGTATCTAATACTTCTTCCTCCTCATTTCCCCACAAACTTGTGAAGTGGGCTGGATTGAAATTGAGCAAATGGCTCAAAGACACCCAGCTGTTTTTTCAATACCCGTCTTAAAAGTTGTAAAAATGAATTTGCAGAAAAGATAGCCTGTCCAATTGGAGATTTTGAGCATTCAAGGGTATATCATTATACATTTTATTCTAACAGTTTCCCCTTTAATACTCTGCTGGTTGGTGTTGAACCAAAAGTCAAATCCAAGAAAAGAGAAGCAGTTGCAGGAAATGGATATGGAAGAGGAAGATGGATCCACGATTATAGCTTATTTATACTGCTACTTAAAAAGTTTTATATTTAATTTTTTTGTGGTGCAGGTTTTCTTTTGTGTCGTTTTTAACAAACTGTATTCAGTAGTTTAGTATCATTTTTAATAAACTGTATTAAATATATTACTGCATAATGAATTTTGAAAATCTGTAGAATTATGGCAACATTCTTCAAATCCTTGAAAAGATGTCAGATGGAAAAACAAAACATGGTCCCACTAATTCCAGAGTGCCAGATCTAGAATAATGGCAAATTATGACTTATTAGGAAAACAAATGAACAAATGTCTGACCTGCAAGAGCAGTTCACAGTGGAATCACTTCCACACAGATAATGCATTCTCCTTTATTAGATGTGTCGAGTCCCAGAGTGTCTTTGGATTTCTGCACTAAGCAGGGGTTGGATTCAATAGCCTTTCTTTACTCTATAATTTTGACACTCCAGACCAGCGGTCACCAACTGGTGGTCTGTGGACCACTGATGGTCCGCGAGAAAATTTTGGCGGTCCACAGAAAAATTATTTGCATTTTTTATATTGCACTAAATCAGGGGTCCTTAAACTACGGCCCCTGGGCCAGATACATGCAATGAACATTTGTGTTGCTGCAGTCTCCCCCCTTCGGGGTCTTTTTGTATGGGTCAGAGGGGGACAGAAATTCAAATTTGGGGTCTGCTTCAGCCTCCTGGTGTGGCGCTTTGGGCAAAGGCTGGAGGGAAGCGCCGCTGGTGGCGAAGAGCCGGAGGGCCTTGTTCCAGTGGGACTGTATCATGGCCTGGAACTGGCTGACCATCTCAGCCCGCTGAGCTTCTAGATGCTGGTATCTGGCCTTGCACTCCTGCAGGTCTTCCCTCTGCTTGGAAAACCTATGCTTTTAGTCCTCGGTGAGGTACTTCTACTGACCCTCCATCTCGGTCAGATCCAATTTGAAGAGTTGCCAATTCTTTCTTGTGGTGGCTGCTTAGCTCCAACAACTGCTTCCTGTTGGGGGCCCTAAGGAGCCCGGGCAGGGAGATGAGGAGTGGCTGGGAGGGGAGAGGCGAGTAGAGGCTGGCGAGATGCCCCTCAACGTGAGTGACATTGAGTTGGCCACACCCACCCAATCACATGACCACCTAGCCACGCCCACCCAGCCGGTCATTAGGCAGATCATATTAGTGGTCCGCAGGATTTAAAATTATGAAGTTAGTGGTCCAAAAGGTTGGTGACCCCTGCTCCAGACAGCCAAGATTTCAGCAGCTACATGGATATTCACAACTGAGTTGGTAATTCAGTTCAGCTTTAATGCTAATAAATAGTAAGATTGCAGCACAGATGTACTGTAAATACAGAAGTTTTTACTTTAAAGTTCCATTCAATTACAGAAGACAAAAGGAGTCCATTCTTTCCATATTTACACTTTTATTATTATTTGCTGTACAGATTCAGGAGTGCAGTTCTGCCTCCCAAATTTTATTTAATGACCATTTAAACATGATGCATACAAGCTGGGTCCACGCAATTTCAATTTCTTCAGACTTGTTTTTTAAAACCTTATTTCTTCTACTCTAGTTTTCTTGTATAACACATTTCCCCTTTTGGATTTTTATATTTTATTCCATGTTCAAAACAACCTTGGAGCAACTGTTGTGCAAGCAAGCGTTAATACATTTCTTCAGTTTCAAAGAGCTATCTTTCGAAAGAGCAGTAAAAGTAATCCAAATGCTACTATTCATTGAGCTGCAAAAGAAGCCACTTACATGAAATAAATTACGGCAGGTAGTATGTGGACTTGTATCAGAAGACAAACCTAAGCCACTTTTGTAAAACTTAAGACCGACTTGCTTAAGCAGTATTCCTTAGTGTATGCCTCTGCATTTGTGTTGTGTTAACTGTCACTTTTCCAGCGTAAATAAACCTTGGATCTGATATAGAGGGTTAAAGGAAATACGTTCATTTAATTCTTCTCTTTTATGCCATTGGGAATTCCTGAAACAGGAAGCAAGTTCTCAGGTGAGGTGTCCACAATTTCATTCTTTAAAAAAAAAAATAATAATAAGAGAAACACCTGTTATCTCTGCATTGGTCCACAGTGATTTAAATCTTGGAAAATCCTTGAATCTGAAGTTTAGAAATCAAATCCTTCACTTTTTCTTCCACTCTTCATATGATTCACTGCCAAAGTTAAAATTAAGACACATACTATTTTAGAATAGGATCATATACTGGAGAAGTATTTTTTTTAAATTTTTTTAAAAATTTTTTTATTTATATGCCGCCCTTCTCCGGAGACTCAGGGCGCTTTACAATGCGTTAAGCAATAGCCTTCATACTTTTGTATATTTATACAAAGTCAGCTTATTGCCCCCACAAACTGGGTCCTCAATTTACCTACCTTAGAAAGGAGGCTGAGTCAACCTTGAGCCTGGTGAGATTCGAACTTACAGTAATTGCAGACAGCTGGTGTTAATCACAATGCTATCAGTCTGCTGAGCCACCAAGCCCTTTAACCACAGCAATGCAATAATATCAATGCATGCATACATATCATGGTACTTCTGCTTAGGTAAGCAAAGTTATGGAAGTACAAAACAAGGTGGGAAGTTGTAAGAAAAAGGCAGGAGATTTTAACAAAAATAAACCAAAAAAAATGAAAATATTCTGTTTCTGCTTCTTCCGTGATTATCATCAATTCAATTTCTATGACTGCCTATCTCATCTGAACAAATCTAGGTGGGTGATCCAATTCACATTCATTCACTCTACATGACCAGACAACTTTTGGTCACTCAGTTTTGTACATAATCTTAATTCATTCATTCATTCACTCTCCATTCATTTTATATTCTATCTTTTTGTTTTATTTAAGGATCTCATTCCCATTGCATTCAACTTCCTTTAATATTTCTCCTGATAACCTACTCTCACTTTTTTAAAGAAGCTACTATTACACACAATGTTTACCTCTTAAATTGTATACATATATTTACTTACTTTAGGTACAACTAAAATAATGTGCATGGACAATGAACATACAACTAAACTGTATCATATGCTTTCAAGCAAACAAATCTCTAGGTTTATGACTAAAACCTTTAATGTGATGATTACAAATTCAATATTCAGTAATAAAGATACTCTTCTCTTATGTGGGAATGAGAGAAAGCAAGTTCATTTGTAGAGTTAATGTCCGATAAAATTTATCTACTTGAAGCACCAAAACTCAACACCAAAACAGGTAGTCTCAATTTATAACCAGTCTTTTAGTGACTGTTCAGTTATGACAGATCCTTCAAAAGACATTTATGATCTAGCTCTGATTGACTGCCTTCCCTGCGGACTTGTGACTGCATTTCAGATACTCAAGAACTGGCCTGCATCCACCACTGTTGTAAGTCGAGGACTACCTATTCAAGAACGCAAACTTTCCATCCTCCCTTAACAACAGTCCTTGGGGAGATCTATTGATAACCTAATGGTATCATATAAATCAGTGGTTATCAACCTTTTCTTCACCATGGATCCCCTTTAAATACCTTTTGTGGCCACGGATTATGACCACAGACCCCCAAGACTTAACTCAAGATTTAAATCATAACATTTCTTCAAGACTTCAGAGACCCCCTATGAGGACATTGGAGGGTCCCCAGGGGTTTGTGGACCACAGGTTGAGAACCACTGATGTAAATTATATAGTGTTATCTTTCTTGTAGTAAGGTTATAAATAACTAGTGCTAGAAAGTTCACTCAACCTTTGTTTCCAATTTGGATTTTTTTAATCCTGACCCAATGCTATCAGATTGCAACATGCAATTCTAACAGTCTCAAGAAAAAAGCAAAATGCTTTAGTCATGAGTAGTTTATACAAACATTTTACTTGTTTGTAGGACTTCTGTCAAAATGTCAATCCCATCTTAATCATTTAACTAAAAAAGGGGGGTTCGATTGTACCTATTCTTATTTCTTGACATTAGACTCCTTATCTTGAGCTTACACACATCTCTACTATCTCTTTTCAGTTCAGTACTTTACCTCCAGCAAATCAGCCTATTTGCTTTCGCATGAAAGTTCATCTGTATTTTCAGAAGCTTTAACATCTGGATTATCTAACGACACCTCACATAAGTAAATGTCAATGGGGCCTTTTGTGCTTCTAACGTGTACTTCTATGCAGTCCTGAAAAAGACCAATATGTTTTCAAGATTAAATAACAAATTACAGTATGACAAATCTTTTAATAGATGAAGGGTGCATAAATTTCATTGTATTTCAAAACTCAAAGTGTGCCAGCATATTCACAGGAAAGAGTTCTAATTACCGAGAATGTAACAAGAATTTCCAGGTAAGCAGTTCAGGAAAGATCCCAAATACCTTACGCTGCTGATTTACGTATTGCTTCGAACTCTGAAACTAGCAATGGATATGTATGTGTCTCCCATTCTCTTCATAAGCTTCTCATTAAGGGTTTTTGCTTAAGATCAGTGGGACAAAATCATTTTAATTTCAAATCATTACAGTTTGATCCTAATGAAATCAGCTCAGATACCTTTGAAACTTCAGAATGAGGTACTTTAGAGTAAGAAACCAAAAATGTGTGTAATTTCATTTCCATGTAGAAGCTGGCAGCCTAAGCTATAGTTAAATTTTCAACAAGTATGTTAATTTCCATGTAGAAGCTGGCAGCCTAAGCTATAGTTAAATTTTCAACAAGTATGTTAATTTACAAACATATGAGGCAAATCTCCTTCTGTGACATTTAAAATAAAAATGAAAACTTCACTGTTGGTCTTTGTAGGTAGATCTTTTGTACAGCTATCCATCCAATCAAATCCCAGTAATTCAAATCAAGTCAAGAAGTACCTACTTTTTTAGGAGGGGGTACTTCCATTCTGGTTCCTTCTGGAGCCTTAATTGCAATAATAATCTGTTCTTGAAATGTCTGAATGTTATTGATATCTTGATAGGTCACATAAGCTAATGTATGCAACAGTTAAGAAATTTTAACAGCAGTAGCAGAAACTATTGTTTACTTTTAATATATACAATATAATTATTAAAGTATTATAATTACACAAAAACCTAATATTGTTCAAATCCAGCAATTCTGAACATTTGTCAATGTTAAGGAAAAAGGATATTTTGCATTTTCTTTATCGTCTGTTAAGTCAAACAACTGATGAGCACAATCTTTGATTAATTCATCCAATGCTTCTTCCATTGTTGTCAAATCACAGAGTTCATCTCTTAACTTCTGTTGCTCCGGTGTTCGTTTAGTAATATGCTTAATATCTGAACCCCTAAGATAATTTTTTTTTAAAATTATAGAAGGTTTAAGCTTAAAGGTATAGGTAGCAATGCATCATTTTATCAATACCAAAATCATATTTAATGAGAGCATAAAAATATCTATATACTACTAAAACTCTAGTGTCTGTAACCTTGAACTGGGCAAAATGGTATATCAAAACTTTGTCAACAAAGATACCTCAAATGGGATATCTTATGCTGGGACTCTTTACTCCTGAGAAAATGAAATTTGGGAAAGCTATGGCTGCTTCAGTGCTGCCAGCTGCTGGGGTCACATAATCCTCATTTTCAACATTTGGTGACACTCATGCAATCCCTTGCTTCCTCCCACAGTCAGCAGAATCTACATACCTGCCTTCTGGGAAAAGAAGTAGGAAAGGGAGGGAGGAACAATGAGGAATGAACTCCACATACCCTTCTTGGCCCCAACTGCCCTCCCAATCACCTTTCCCAACCCATCAGCAACTCTTGCACATCCCTGCGACCCCCAGGCACTTTCTTGACTTATTGTTTCCCTTTGCGCACCCTCCCTGGTTTGCACAGCACCTCTCACATCCCCCCTATCATTCCCAACCCTCATCCCTGTGCATTCCCTTTGCTTCTTCCCTACGTGGTAGCAACCACTTATCTGTCTATTGGCCTTGCCCTTGCAACTTCCTGCTGGCTTCCCTACTTTCTCACTGCAAAATTCTCACAAATAAAGTAAATGGGGAAACAAGCAGGAATTCTAGGTACAGAGGGAAGAAGGGAAGAAAGAAAACAATGGCAGGAAAGAAAAGACGTAAGGAAAAGAAAGGAGGAGTGGGAAGGGAAGGGAAGTTTCCAGTGCTTCATGCCAACTTCCCACAAGGACAATGGGAAAACCATCAGTCATTCCTGCTCCTGCTGCTTTTTGCCTTCCCTTGGTCATTTTGCTGTTTAGGTAATGAAATATCTCTTAAACGATGACCCAACAGGGCACAGGTTGTCTAAACTTCTAAAATCAGGTATCACTAGCTGCTACACATTTTGTGGGACTACATACATACATACATACATACTAATAGTCTATTCCTGTGCAGATTTAACCCTGTAAACTCACTGATATTCTTATTAGATCAGGTTGTGTAAATTGTATAAATACTGTTGTGTACATTTTTACACAATCCAAGATCTTTACAAGTCTTACATTAATAATATTTATATATAAGAAGTTCTGCATCATTATTGGAGATTCTTTCCACTTGAGATTGTATTGCGGTAAGAGCTGAAGCAAGGAGGTTTCTCCGTCTCAATAGTTTGATACTCAATTACAGTATTATGATGCTTAGAACATAGGCCAAACTCAAATATTTAAATATATAATTGGAGTAATCCTTAGGTCAATCCTGTATCCTTTTATCCGTAGTAGAGGTAGTGAACAAGGCTATTAATTTAAAATAATGTATTTGTGTCCAAGAAGCCTTCCAAGTTGTATCACACTCTTAATAATTAATAGTTTGAAATAATGTGCCACATCATATTTAAATATCCAGGATCTCAAGTACAAAAGTTAGAAAAAAAGAGCCAACTTACACCCATTGAATATGATTCTTGGATCTTTTCTGAACAAGATGTATTCCATCCAACACATTTGTAATATCATATACTCTTCGCTTCCGTACTCCTAGCAAACGAGATACTTCATTCAAATCCAGGACTCCTTCTGGAGCAGCTTTGACAAGATCCATGAATCTTCTGGTCAGCTGAACCAGAGATCCATCATAACGGGGCTTTCTGCCTTTCATTGATTCTGCATAGGGTTAAATAAAAGTACAGATTAACAGGCACCAGTTCAATAATGAAACATATTTGCATTGCCTCTAAAAAGTTCATACCTTAAGCAAAAACACATTACCTTTCAGATTTAAAAAAGCTCAAATTCATATGGAACTATATATAGATATATTTCAATTATTGGCAAACATGAACGTGTGCTGTGCTGTTTTATGAACAGGCGCTGTTTACTGACATTTCTGATCCAGTATTGCCATAGTATGACATCATGACTTGTCATCCCTAAGTGAGATGGCCAAATTCACCTGTTTGATCAGAGAAAAAACAATACCTACATTTATTGCCAATTGGAAACCCTGATGGACTTTTTGCATAAAAGAGAAAAAATAAACGTATGATTTATGATTTTGATTATTAGATAGGGTAGAGTCACGAGATAACTTTAAAGAAAGAGATAAATTTATAATTGTACTTATAAATGCTATAAAAAAGATTGGAAACCACTTCTTTGTACCATATCTTTTTTTTCTATTTTTCCTTTAGCTTTTCTTTCTTTCTTGCAGTTTTAGCTTTCTTTGATTTTTTCCTTCCTTATAATTACTTTGCATTAGTTGTTTTTAAAAACTTTATATTTACACACGTATCAATATAAAATGTTAATGAGAAAATAAGAATTTTTAAGTTTTGTAAAGGCTCCACCTTCATTGTTTTATGGCTACTAGAAATCAACTGTTCCTCACCTTCATTTTCAATTTTTGTACGTGCCTATGGAGTGTCTAGCACTGTATTTAAGAGTAAAAAAGAATGATGCAGTGTGCAAATTCAATAAACACTGCTGATCTTGTGATAATCTGGCTATGTGAATAATCTTACAGCAAATGTGATGTGTTTGGTAGATAAGAGAGATTTTAAAGAAAAACAGCACCACAACATTTTCCCTTGACATAATTATCCTATTAGCTCAAAATAGGTCCTCCAACATCCCTTCAAAACACTACATGATTACATATCTAATGTCCCTCAAAAGATTACCACTCCCATTCATGCATTTTGTTTCTACTTCCTAACTGAATCACTTACAGAAAGATATGATATAAGCAATAAGTTGTTGGTTTTGTACACTGCCCAGAGTCATGTCCAGTAAGGTGACCAACCATATAAATGTATTATTAAAGGAATTATTCAAGAAAATAAAAACAAAAAAGGCATTGGTTTGCAGATCTTAGATTAACCTCAACACAAAATGCTGACCTCTTGATGGCAACTCAGTAAAAATTGGGGTTGGAGTACAAAAACGAAAAGGATCTCATCTCTGAGCATCTTTCTGTGTTAAAAGATTTAAATGGAAGTTAAAAACAAACCACCCACAAACCATTCAATTCATTAAAAGGCTCCACAATAGCATTACAATAGTTACCACAGCACTGAAAAAAAAATGACTTACAACCAGTCCTTGGACTTACAACTATTACAGCAATTCTGCAGTCACAAAATTCTGGATCCCGGCAGCCAATACAGGTAGTCCTCGACTTACGATCACAACAAGCCCAAAATTTATGTTGCTAAGTGAGACGTTTGTTAAATTAGTTTTGCCCCTTTTACGAACCTTTCTTGCCACAGTTGCTAAGTGAGCCATTACAGTGGTTAAGTTAGTAACAGTGTGGCTAAATGAATCTGGCTTTCCCATTGAATTTTGCTTGTCGGAAGGTAGCAAAAAAGGAGATCAGCGGACTCCGGGACAACTGCAACCGTCATAAATACAAATCAGCTGTCAAGCATCCCAATTTTGATCATGTGACGCAGTGGTGGGTTTCATTTTTTTTTACTACTGGTTCTGTTGGGTGTGGCTTGGTGGGCTTGGCATGGCTTGGTGGGCGTGGCAGGGGAAGGTTACTGTAAAATCTCCATTCCCACCCCACTCCAAGGGAAGGTTATTGCAAAATCCCCATTTTCTCCCAATCAACTGGGACTCAGGAGGCAGAGAATAAATTGGGGTGGAGCCAATCAGAGGTGACATTTACCAGTTCACCGAACTACTCAAAATTTCCGCTACCAGTTCTGCAGAACTGGTCAGAACCTGCTGAAGCCCACCTCTGGTGTGACCGTCATCAAAATGCTGCAAGGGTCTGTTAAGTGTCTACAACGATCGTAAGTCACTCTTTTTCAGCGCCGGTGTAACTTTGAACGGTCACTAAACGAACCGTCGTTAAGTCGAGGACCGCCTGTACTGTAGCAAGAAGCCCAGGGTCTTCTAGGACCTCTAGGAACTAAACCTGGCTAATAACGCAAAGGGTTGATGCCTCATGCCTTTCACACACCGGTAATGTTTCTGAGGCCGACCGCCAAGGGCGACAGCTCTCCCTATCCCACCGGGCCCCGAGAACCCCCAAGACTCGCAGGCTACGACGAAGTTCGAGACGAACTGCGGAACCCCCAGAAAACGCAAACGGGGTTCAGACGGAGCCCGGGAACTCCCCTCCCTTCCCTTCCCCTCGCCCGGTCCTAATCTCATTCTCAAGGCCCCTTTAAGAGAAGCCGAAGGAGCCGCCTTCAAAAGCGCCTTCCTCCGGCCCTTCCTTCCTCTTTCCCTCCCTTCTCCGATCCTCCTCACGGATGGGGGGGACTCTATTCTATTCCTTCCTCAGCCCCGCTGGGCTCCCCTAACTCGCCGAATTGCCAACCACCCACCCACCCAGCCCGGCCAAGCCAGTCCATCTCCGTCCTTTCTCCTATCCGCGCAAGGCGAGAGAGAGGCCTTCAGAAGCCCCGCGGGTTGCTTTGGCCCACCCGCTGCCTCACTCACTGGCAGCAAATCCAAGGAAGGCGACGGCAGCCGCAGCTGCTGCTCCTTACTCGCGGCCGGGGCTCCGGCCCAACGCCAGGGCGGCCATCTTGGCCCAGCCTCTCCCTCGGCGGCGCCCCTGGCCTTTCTCCGCCTCAATAGAGGTGGGGGGGGGTGGGGAGGAAGAGGCGGCGAAGGAGGGAGAGACAGCAAAGCGCCGCCCGCTTTCTGCTTCTCCGCCTCCTCCTCCGGGGAGATGCTTCGGCTGCCGCTTCGTAGCGCTTTCCTTGGGCCGGGCCGTTTGCGGGATTCCCGAGCGGGAGCTTTAACCCCCCCCCCCCTCCCCCCCGAGCAGAGCAGAACCTCCGTCTGCCTCAGGGCAAAGCGAGAGGAGTTGAAGGCGCCTCTTCCGACCTTGGTTTTCGGATCAGGCGGCGTCGAGGAGCCGCTCAGGCTTGCTCTGCGATGGGCGGGTGGGGTCCGGCTCGGATCCCGGGGCTGCCACCGCCACCGCCTCCCCGCCGTGCCTACGGGAAATGTGTTCATCTCCAAGTGAGGGGTTTTCAAGGTTTCTCCAGGGACAACTGCTTCTAAGAATGCTCTCTTTATTATGTTTTAAAGTTCTTTTGGTTTGTTTTGCTTTTTAATTTAATTTTTTAAGAAATTCTTTAAATATGTACGTGCAATTCTTTTTTTTTTTTGCTTGCATGTCTTAACTAAATAATAATAATAATAATAATAATAATAATAATAATAATAATAATAATAATAATAATAATATCTAAGATGCTGGCAGCAACCTGTATCAACCATTAGCACCAGTCAGTGGTATTTGTGATTCATTTTTGAATGTTCAGTTGACTGAGTTTCATGTTTAATGAATAAAGTAAATAATAATAATAATAATTGGTTGATACCTAGGACTCTGGCGGCAGCCCGTATCAATCATTAGCACCAGTCAATCGTATTTGTGACATATTTTTAAATGTTAAGTTGACTGACTTTCATGTTTAATGAGTAAAAGAGATAATAATAATAACAACAACAACTTCATTGTCATTGTACCTGTATACACAGTATACCCATACAACAAAATTCACAACACCCAAAGACCAGGTCCAACACACATAACAATCCTGAAACACACTCCCACCACAAATTCCCCACCCCTAAACCACCCAAACATCCACACAACAGACCAAGTTAATAATAAATAAATAAGTTAATAATAAAGGTTACAAGCTTTTCGACAACAAATGATGCTTTGAAACGAATTTATTTGTTATTGGGGACGCTGTGTTATTTTAACTTTTGGGTAAAGAAAGTGGGCTTGGAATCAAAAGACTTGTGAATAAAGAAGAACATTTGTAGCTCAAGTGTTGAAATGAAGGTGCTTGGTGCTCTCTGAGCTTGGTTGTTTTCTTGCAAACGTTTCATTACCCTAACTAGGTAAGTGCTCATCTCGGTTTCCTAGCTGAGGGAAGCCAGCATTCTCTTCTTTGATTATATGGCTAGCATGTCTATAGGATAAGCTCATGGAGCTCTGAGCCTATGACCTTCCCACTATGTGTTCACTCACATTTGCATGTTTTCAAACTCTTAGGTTGGCAGAAGCTGGTGCAAGTAATGGGTGCTCAACTCATTGTAGGGTGCTCAGCTCTTGAACCCTCTCGGACCTCTCACAGTTTAATCCCCCCCCCCAAAAAAACCCCAACAATCCTTGGCTCCATTTGTTGAGAAAGGTATAATTTTATTAGAGGACAAGTGTAAAGCAGTAATGCAAAGTCAGAGATTCACAAGCCAAAATCACATAAGTTCTACTCCCGCCCCCACCTGCCTCTCACTGCTCGTCAATCAAGTTCCTGCAAGATGTGTCCATATCGGTCATTCTGAAGCCAGGTTGCAGTAGTGAGTTTCAATTTTGGCCGCTACTGGTTTGCTCGTGGGCGCATGCATGTGACGCTTCTGTGCATGCGCAGAGATGTCTGGGTGGGTGGGCAGAGTCTCCTGCTGCCGCCGCCGCTACCGGTTTGCCCAACCAGAACGAACCGGTAGCAACCCACCACTGCCAGGTTGGTATGTGGTCCCTCCTTCTCCCAGCTGGGTGACCTTGGAGTGGGGTCTTGAGGTGGCTTCTACTTTTGTTTTCTCCTAAGCAACCCCTTCCCTTCATTCCCCCTCCTCACAGTTCATGGCAGACTGTCACTGTATTGTAGTGAGGCACAAGTAAGCATAAGGTGGCTTATTTTTTCCCCCCAATTCAGTTAATAACTTTAAAAAACAGTTCAGGCTAAATCGTAGGTCATCAAGTCTTCCCTAATTTGGCATGGATTGGGCAGCGATTTTATGAAGTCTCAACACAATATCAGATGCTATCCCTCAAACTAGCTAATAAGCACAAGTCCAGATTGTTACATAAACCCACTCTGTAAAATTAAGATTTGGTGTGTTGTATGAATTAAATCATCATGACTCAGCTTATATTAATATAGCTAGTAATACGGACACCAAAATGTTTTCACTAATACATATTTGATATAAAATGTATGCTATATATTTATAAATGTCCATTTTAAGTAGGGAGAATAGTCTGTTGGGTCAATTGAAAGCCCCACTGATAACAATAACCATATTTCCAAAGTGCTGAACTATGTATTTGTCACAGTGTGTTGCACACATGCTGCAGCCATGCCCCGATGACTGCCGGTATCAGGAGACAGCACCAGCCATGACCTGACATGGCAACATTCAAGTGTAGGTGGAGGATAGGTAAATCACAGAGGTCCCTGGTAAAACATGGCAGAAACGTGGGGTGAAGTTGAGAGCCCAGAAATACCAGCAGTGTCTCCCTCGATGGACCTGTAATAACAATGGCTAGCAGGCACCTGAGGATTATATTTGTTAGGCCTGGGAAATTTTGTGCATGTGGCTGGGCATGACAGACTTCTCTGATGCCTTTTGAGGGAAAGCATCCAGACTGATCTCCATTGGGCCACTGGCAGCGGTCCATGGGGGCTGCTTGACTTCAGGGTATCATGCGGTTACGCTTAATGATCCATGCCACAGTTGATCCACAACATTGAAAGAGGACATGTATCATTCCTTTTTGAGACTATCCCATTTATTCCCTGGCAGGGTTTATAAATGAAAGGAATTATGTTGTAGTATTATTTTCTAAAGGAAGCCCTTTTTATAGAACAAAGTTTCAAATTAGTAGCATTTATTAGTCATAAAACCATGGTTGACAAACATCCAATTAGAAAAGAATACCCTAATCCAAGAACTGCCAAAAACAACTGCAGCCCCACCAACACTGGCAGGATAAGATGCTGTACATAAACAGGGAGTAAAACCCCATCTAGCAATGGAGATGTTACCTATTCAGGTAAGGAACTGTCTGCAAGCAAGTAACCAACTTCAGAGAGCATCAAGAACTTTGTAGCTCAACTTTGACCTACATACTGCATATTGTCATTTACTGGTATCATGCCCAGGCGTGACCAGACTTCATATTTAGAATATCTGTTCTGGAGCTACTCGAGGTGAACAGCAAAAACAAGCAAAAACCAAAACGAAACAAAAATGGGGCTCAGGCTTACAATATACTGTAATGAATTCAGAAAAGAATGGAGTGGAAAGGGAAAAGGAAAGCAAAATGCCCTAATTTATGTGGTACCTCAAATGACATTAAAAATTATTTATTTACCTAGTTACTTATTTAACAAATTTATAAACCTCCCTATCTCACCCAAAGTGACACCAGGCAGTGCACAATAGATTAAAAAATAGAAAGAAAAACTTTAAGAAATGTTGCTGAATTAAGATTTCATATTGGAGTGTTTCATGATTAACTTATAGTTTTGCTATTATCTGTACTTCTTCACCCTTGGTGTGGACAAGCTTCTGACTTGTATATTCTTGGGTTTAAAGTTGGAAAATCCTACTGAGCTTTTCAGATATTTCTGCAATATATATGAAATGACAATGTTGCTACATTTGTTGTTCTCTTGTCTGTAATGGAGGAGCTTCTGCTGGGTCTTTTTTTTATTTTTTTTATTTGATGAGGACTCAGGATAATCACAAGTTCTGACAGATTCCTTGACATATTTTAGTACTTTTTCTTTTCCCTCTTTACTGGTAGACAAACTTTCAGCCCGGTCATGTAGGGTTCTGATCACTCCCATTTTGTGCTCCAGTGGGTGGTGAGAATCAAAATATAAATCCTGATCTCTCCAGGAAAGCCAGACTGTTTTCCTTAATATCTTCCCTTGTGAACTTAATGCATCTGTCCTCAGTGTTGATGTGTTTGGTGAAGGCCAGAGACAGGATGTGCTGCTAGTTCTTGTTTGGTTATACAGATACAGTCTGTTATATTCAAATCTGAAACATTTTGTTTTACATAAATGAGGAGTTATGTTGATTTTTAGTGAATTTGACTTCTGGAAAGATGGCAAAGCAAATAAGCAAAGACAACCAGTTGCTTTGAAATCCTAACCCCAGGACTTTGGGCCGTTAACATGTGGACTTCACCATTTTCAATATATGCAGTATTGGAAATTGAAAAGAAATTCATGGATTATTACTGATTTTCAGGTCTCTGCTGCACAGAGGGGGCGGGGTGCATGCGGGATACATGCGTGCATGCGCATGGGACGGGGTGTTGTGTGCACATGCATGGGGTTGCACGCACATGCATGGAGGGCGGGGAAGTGCTGGAAGTCATGTGTGCATGCACGGGGCGGGGGAAGCGGGGTCGCGTGTGCAGGTGGCGGGGGAGCATGGGGGAGTCACGCGGGCATGCGCAGGGGCGGGGGAAGATTGCGCACACATGCACGAGGGTGGTGGAGTGGGGGGGGTCGCAAGCGCATTGCATTATGGGTGTGGATGCACCCGCGCTTTCGGCACATGACGACAAAAAGGTTAGCCATCACTGATGTTAGAAATAATATACTTTAAAAATGCATTCAATTTGGCAAACAGTGTAGCCTTTGGAAATCTGCTATATTTCTCTTACACTGACTTCAACACAGACATGCCCCTCCCCCCCATAAATGAACACAGAAATAAATAGAATCCCCAGGAAATTTAGTTTTAGTTCTTATCTTATCAGCCAGATTTAACTTTACAGAAAACAATCTATTATGTGCTGCTAGCTGCAGAGGCAG